GAAAGATTGATTGCGAGAAGAGTTAAGATGTAGAAATACTGCTTGATCATAATGTTTAAAAATATAATTATCACGTGATATTAAGAAATTATGACTGATAAGAAAGCAAAAGCACGCGTCAGTGAAAACAAAACTGTGAAAGTTTGCAGACGATGTTTGGGAAAGGGGCGTGGTACTTACTGTTACGAGAAAGTGCGCTTCAGTATTTTTGTTATAACTTCGGAAATATTTTGTGTATCATCATAAATTTGGTTTTAAAAGGCTCAGAATAAAACAGAGTATAACATATATTTTTTTTCAAAAAATCGAAAATTTTGAACCGAAACACCCCTTAGAGCAATGCATGACTGAAAATAAGGCAAGACAGTAATAGACAATTATAAATAAATTAAAATTGCATAATTAAAATATAAAACATAATAATGACCTATAAAGTTAATAATTAAAAAAATATGCAGTGTTTAAACATGTACATTGTAAATTGATAAATGATTTAATTATAAACTGAACGTTAAATGAAGTTAAGAGCAGGAATTCGTAAACAAGAAATTAAGAGTTAAGATGATAAAAGTGAAGCAAATTAAAAAAAAGAAAAATTATATTGAGGAGAGAATAAACTTGTGATAATTAACATTATCACAGCCTTCTTCATACTTTAACAACGTATGCCACCTTTCCAATTTCATATTAACATTTATCCTACAATAAACTCTATAACAATAAGACCACTGCTTTGTCATGCACATGTACTCCTCATTAAAACAATTTACAAAACTTTTCGCGTCTGTATTAGAGCTGTACTTCTCAAAGAATGATTTGCATAAATGATCAAATGTCACAACATCAGTCTCTTCTTGAAGCTCAAATAAATCAGATTTAATGGCACATCTTAAATCAGCTACCCTTACCGTAGAATTTAAGTTCTTTTTCCAAGCCCTTTTAACATGCCAGCAACATAATAAGTGCAAGTCACATTCCCCAGAAACATTAGCAGCTGGAAAACCTTCACAATTAGAATCATTAACCATCAGTGTGGTGAATTTAAGCTGATACTGATTGAGACCATGTGTGGAGTCTATCATAATGATACCATCATTTAATTCTAGCAGCTTTTGTTGAGCATTGCTCATAATACTAAGCAAAAAATCATTTTCGTAAATTCCTGCCATTTCAGAGACCTCTCCAACTGACTTGTAGGGCAAAACATAGTTGCCAGGCTCCTTCAGCATTTTTTGAATTTTAAAATGCACATCATTTTTATCCAAACATACCTCACTATCTAACTTAAATTCTGTACAGATATTGTACAAATCTTTCTTATCAATTAATGAAAGTCACGTAGCAGGTGTATAGTTTGATCTAACATTGGCTGAAACCCTAGATTTTTGTATTCCCTGCTCCATCAGAATAGCTAAAAGCTTACGTTCATTCATACTAAGAGGCAATCTAGAAGCTTCAGGTTCATGACCAACATGTACAGATTGAAGCTCAACAGAAATATTACAGCAATCAGAATGTTTCGTTACTTTCATGGTAGCTGGACAACTATTATTAATTTTATTAGTTCCTATGGTTTTAACGTGATGTTTCCCCGTCGCTGACTTCAATGCAGCTCTTTCCACTACGATGATGCACATAATACTTAACTACTGATAAGTCAGAAAATTTTTTAATAGATCGTTGTATAAAATGAGATACTTTCTCTCTTTCAAAAGTATCCTTCCAAATGTCAAACGAATTTTAATCATCGAAAGACTTAATTTCAAATAACAGGTTTACTTCAGAAAGTTCGCTCTGGTAATGTTTTTGCAAAAAACAATAATTCACAGACATCTGATTGCACAAAAGCGCGCCTTAACTTGCTGGACTTATCGTCATGCAAGTTCCTCATGTAAGCGTATAAATTTTTCCTCATTGTAAATTCTCGTCCACATTCTTTGCATTTCTCGTTTTCCGGCCCTATTTTTTTGTTGTCAGACATTTATTTATTTATTTCAAATGGCAGAGATAATTGACATGAAAAAGCAAAAACATAGGAACAAAACAAGAAAGTAATTAGGTATCTTATTAAAAATAAGTTAAAACCAAAAGCGTAAAATAAATAATGCTACTAAGTCACATGGGTATCTTAAACAATTTAAATGAAATAATTAGTATAAAAAATTTGGTAAACATTTAAAAACACGTTGATACAATATTATAAACAAACAAAAAAAATCATTCAAAGCATTTAACTTACCTTATTTACTAAAAAGTAAATAAAGAGCTTAAAATGACAACAGTCCACCTACCAACACTTGATTACACCCTAGAAGCTACGAACTATGTATTCATACATATTTTTTTCTTTTTTCCAGGCGTGCACTCGTACCTAGGTGTGCAAAAGCCTTAACCGTATAGTCCACGTCTGGCCACCAGTCTAGCTCGCACAATACATATGCAAACACGTAATACACCAATGCATCACAACCGCAAAGCACAATTGCAAAATACATAATACATAGGAAAAACAAAATTTTGAAGGAAGTTACAATAGATGACAGTAATTAAGTTAAAGTTAGAAGATAAATAAAAAAAAGGGAGAAAAGTTAATGAATTAAAAAAGAGGTGAAAACTTTAACTCTGACATATAAATTTAGGATCGAAAACTAAATTGGATGAAGAAAACTTTGTGGTTGGCCAGAACGCAGTTGCTTCAGTCTTTTAAGGTAATAGGGACACGTGGCCGAGGATGCCGCGTGATCGCAGTTGAAGTTTGTTCTTTTATCATAGATCGAATCGCTGCAGTTTCTACCAAATTCATTTTTGGCAGTACATTGGTCGGATGTGTGTCGATTGACGCCGCAACGGGTACAGGCGTTGTATTTGCAGTTATTTTGGTGATGGCCAATCTCTTATGTATGTAAAAAGCATAAAAACGCTTTAAAAAAAATTTATAATGTATTTAAATATACACTTTTTTAAGCTCAATAATTATATATTAGCACATTCAGAAGGTCTTTTTTGTTATCACAGTTATAAATGAACCACATAAAAAATACCAGAGAAGCATAGACTTATTTTTCTCTTTTAAAATCCCCAGGTTAGTAAATTATGCCTTTTTTATTTTGTTGGCATTACATTGCAAGTCTTATTTTCCGTCTCACAAGATAAATACTAAATGAAAGTACAAATATTGACTTTGAAATTGATACAAGCTAACATTTATTTGAGATTTTGATAAAAATCATTAAAGCTTAAATAAAAATATTAGCAATTTATTGGGCCAGGCGTGGTATGAAATTGAAGTAATTTTAACTTTTTTTTTCTTTATATAGTTTGTTTTGATTTTGCTATGGAACAGCGATGTAAGTTTAAAAAAATCATTAGAGTTGTGATAATTTAAAAAGAAAGGCATTTTAAAAATTTAGAAAAATATATTAACATTAAGATATAAATTAAGACGCTCAAAGCCAAAGTTTACAAAATAGCGATCGTCATTAACATAGCTATACTAAAATCATGTCATTTTTTAAAAAGATATCTATAGAAATTGTACCAGACCTCCGTACGTTAAAAACTTTATAAATTTAGAAAGGGAACCGCATGAGCGATTGCAAAAAAATGGATTTGAATTAAAAATTAGTTGGAAGAAATACTTTTTGGAGAAGTTAGCAATAAAATGCATTCGCATAGGATGGCGTTGTAAAATGGCGGTCTGGTACTCTGAGCCTAAATCAATGGAACATCATATTTTGAACACTCATTTAATGAAAAATAGACTTCCCGAAGGCCGTAAAAGACTCGCCAGAGATGCCTTGGGGAATCACATCTTGGAAATTATTAGCATTAGGTGGGAAAAATAGATGATTATTGTTTTTTGAAAGAATTTGTTGGAGCTTCAACGGAGATGTTGTTCCTGTTTTGGGATCCGGAGTAGTAGACAGCAATAAAATTATTCCTACGTTTTCTATAATATACCCTTCTTTTGTCAATAAGGCTGTTGTGGCAGATTTTTTACTCATGCATGTAGCCGTAACTTTTTCCAAGAGTTTCAGGTGCTGGTATGTCCCCAAATTGAACACCATAACAGTGTCGCACATGGCTAAATTTGCTCGTCGTAAAGACGCAGAAGTCTGCTTTGAGCATTTGCTCCAGATCACGCTATGCATACTTTCATTTGCATTTTGGGTTGCACATCTGACACAACGTTCTAATATTTCATTTAAAGCTAGCCGTTGATAGATAGGAAGGATTTTCGATAAATTTCCGTTTACTGGTGTGTTTACGTGCATTTTGCGAGAACCTAGTGTTTAATTTTTTTGAGATAGCTACTTGATAAAAACACCGAGTTTGCACCAGGTGGACATTTCAAATGTTGGGGTTTAATATCGGTGGGAATGCTATGGTGCAGTGTAGCATATATGGCAGTTTTCATTGCATTAACATCGCCTTTGCTTTGTCGGAAGGCATTCCGACAAATGAAGATAGTAGCTAGTTAATTTTTTTATAGTTGCTTCTTTTAAACTACCACGAGATTCTCACCCTCAAAGTCGCACCTTACCCACGCCATTCTTTCACAGCATTTCTTAGACCAGATCCTAACCTTTGACTAACATGATTAATGCATTCCTCTTTCTTAATCTCTATGTCACCATAAATGTTTTTGGAATTTAGGTAAGTAAATGTTCTTGCCTCACCATCTGACAATATTGTTACATACCTGAAACCTAGACAGTCGGACCGTTTCCACGATAAAAAGAACTGCTTCCTACTCCATAGCTCCTAAAGAGCCCGGATGATTGATGCTACACGAGCTTTGGTGGCCACTGTCAAATTCAGGCGATTTCGCAGCTGTCTTTCTCACATTCAGTGCATCTTTTTAACATAATTTCGCAGTCTATAACAAAGCCTGTAAGAATATCTATTACACAGTATGGTGGATTATTCAGTGTGCCAATTTATGTTGAGATGATGGAATATCAGGTGAGGTTGGAGTTTGTATGATATAGTGGGCCAAGTTAAAGAATACTGACAAATTGAAGATTGTGATGATAAAAACAGAAGATGATGAAAATTAACAGTTGAACCGGATCAGAATTAATAANGACACATTTATTGTCTTTCCATCTCACTATGCACATTTCATTGTCTTCTCTCACTCTTTCATCCCAATCTCCACGTCGAATATCTTTATCACGATTGATTTTTTTCCCTGCTGCTCCAAGTCTGTTATTCATAATTGTACCCGTCTGGTACACACCGTTTCTCAATAAATAGTCAGCACATTTAATTCCTGTAAAAAACCTATCAGTGTAAATCACCCGATTTGAGTTTCTTGGGATACTTTCAGACAGCAACTTTACAATGCCACCGCCTAAACCAAGTTCCTTCAAATCCTCAGGCGGTACTGTGCCTTTTCCATGATATATTTGAAAATCAAGAACAAGGCCATCTCGAGCAGACAAAACAAAATTTTTTATGCCAAGTGGATTTGGTTTAGACGGTACATACTGTCTAAATCCACAACGTCCTGAGAAAGGTATCATTTGCTCATCCAATGATACGTGGTTTGGACGAGGCAGTGACAAACACTTTTCTTTAACGGCATTTGTTATAAGTTTTACTTTCCATAGCTTTTCATCTGCAGTATGCTCCATGGTATTATCAGCAAAATGAATATACTTACGAATTTCAAAAAATCTGTCACGTGACATTGTTTCGGCAATCAATGGTATAGATAAGTTTTTTTGCCAGTACAATCTAGCTTGAGGGTATTTCAAAGTACCCATAAGTATATGTATACCAGCAAGTTTCATAATTTCAAATTTGGTAGTATCTACAGAGCGATGATTGCGTGTTTGTACAGAATATAAATTCGTTTCTGCTGATACCTGTTCCCAAAAATCTTCATTTAAATATTCCAAAAACGATTCCAAAGGGCTGATCATGACATTAGAATCAGCTTTTAGATCATCATCATCAATCATTGGTCCGCGTAGAACCATTCTGAAACAAACAAAAAAAAAGCATGTTTATTTTCAAAAACTTATGTAATCACTATTTCACTAAAAATTTTATTCGTAATATTAATATTGGTTATATTTACTTTCACACATATGATGAAAAAAATAAAATTACTTGTTAGATTTCCACTTCAAAGGCCGGTTAGAAGGTCCCGCTATATTTTCACATGGCTCCTCTACATATTCTGACGTTACGTTATCTTGGGTCAAATCTCTATCATCATCCTCTTCTATACTATTTTCTGGAGGATCATCAATTAATAACTCCTCAGAATTTTCACTTAAATCGTCAGACAATTCATCGTCACTTTCATTCATAATTTGTTCAATCTCATCCCAAGACAGATATTCTAAAGAATGATGAAGTAACAATAATAATTAGTCAATATTGTTTTACCATTTATAAAGACATTTTAATTAACGCTTTAATTTAAAAGTATTCTCCTATACTACGAACAATGATGCATTTTTAGTTGCTCCCCTTGCAGGGGCGGATTGCCTAGATAGCATAAAAATGAATCAGAATTATGCTTCCAACAATAAAAACACGTATTAATTAGTGCAACATGCATGATTCATGTATAATTATTGCTTAATAAATTTTATTGAAGAAGTTTTTAAAATTTTTAATTTATTTAGAAATTCTTATAATATTTAAGCCCCCCTCCCCATTTTAATTTATGGACTGGTGGGAAATGCGATCATAACAACAACAAAATTATTAATTATATATTCACAATTAAGACTAAAAACAAAATCCGTTGAAAACCATTGCTTTGCATGCATATCATAACATTCAAAACAAAATTTTAGTCTCAGAGCGTGCTTCGAAAAATTGACACTAGAACCGAAGGTACACACACGTGCACCTTATAAATTGCATCGATTTATAATAGTTTGCTTATTATAATTGCAAAATTTATGCTAAAAATGTCTTAATAAAGAACTTATGAATGAAATAAAAAATATTGAAAGTATTTGAATGAAAATAAATTAGATTAAAGTTACTTACTTTTTCGACGACTTGTAGCGTTCGCCATTTTCGTCTTTAGTACTTTCAAACTACTAAAATAAAGACTAGTATCGCCATCTCTTATAGAAATTGGAAAACACAAAGGTGCACAAATGATAACCTTAGGTCTTTATTCGGCATTTTCAAAAATTAAGTGAGATATGTAGTTAAAACCGAAGGTGCACAAATGTGTACGTTGGGTCTGAAGAGGTTAAGTCTTTGATTTATTTTAAATATAATTCTATTAATAAAAATCAGCTTAAGTAATCAAAGATATTTAGAAGGATAGAAAATAAATATGTAATGCCAATTGTGGCATCACACACAGCCTATCCCAATTTGAGACAAATGTCCTCGTGTGAGCCATGTTCCATCAAAAGAAACACCTATATCAAGAATTGTTCCGGAGTTTTCAAAATCATACGCATCTTTCACCTTTGAGCTGATGTCATGTATATGATCTTTAAAAAGCTGACGACTAGCAAAATACAACTTATGTTTATGATTATTAAGAGCTCTACTTCACATTAAATCCAAGTTCATAAGCAGGCAAAACTATCGAAGAGCCGCATATCCTTTACCAATGCTTAAAAAGTTTTGCACTACTCTTCGGTTAATGTCAATTGTTTTCTCCTCCTGCCACATCTGTCTTAGATGTGGATACTTTTTTGCTTGCAGAACAAGAAGAACAAACAAGATTCATTTTCACAGACATGCCAAGCTTTTATCCAAATGTAATTGATAAAAAAATTTTCATGCAAAACTAACATAAAATTTCTTTCAAAAGTTGGGAAAATTGAGTGACATCCACTATAGCATACTGTGGTACTGAAACTTAATTTTTATTTTCAACCGCAGAAGAACATTGGGATGTAGCTGCCATGAGCACGTGTCGTATAAGTGGGGCCACAGGAACACTGGTCCAAGGGAAAACAAATTCACGAGTCGTGGGTTCTTCACATTAAGCTAGTCATTTATTTATCACAATTCAACAAAAACATCTTCTTTGGAAAAGGAGCACTGGAATACCTCGTGTAATTCATATTCGAGAACACGTGTCTCTTTCTCTGCATGCTCGGCTGGCTATATCTCAAAACTCGATATATATAAAATTTTACTATATCCTAATTACTAGATTCGCATAAAATGCCCAACCTTAACAATGTATGGACAATCATGAAAAATCAGAAAGCGAGCACGCAGAGAAGTAAAGAGGATCTTACACCAAAAATTTCTCGTTCACCAACACCGAGCGTAAACACACTTCGAATGCTTGAATGATAGCGCCCATCCGGGGAACCGGCTTGGCTGAACTCCCGGTTGTAGTTAAGATAAACTAGGTGCAAGGCACCGTTAAAAATTAATGTTTTTAGATTTAGAAGAGAGCAAGACTGTTTCAAATTTGGATGTATTGTGATAGCATTATCACAAACATAAATAATTTTCTAGGCATGGAAGTACTGATTAGGATCTATTTCTAACGAAACATTTGCTTCGGAAAAATCAGGAGCTTGTCACCAACGTTTATTGGCTTTTTCCTTTGCAGTTACTCGAGCACGCTTCGGTCTTGGCATTTTTAAACAATGTCAACAAATAATTAACGAAAACTTAAATATAAACAATAACTTAATGAAAGGTCTTGAAAAAGACCTTTTTTTAAATAAATGAACAAAATATGCGAATTTTTTATCTGTAAACAACTAGAAAACGATAATTGCACTTGTCTAATTGAAATATGAAAAAAGAATTTATTTCACTTATATTCAAAGGAGAAAGATGAGAAATTGATAATCAATTGTTACAGAATTTGAAATAAAATGAGGCTTTGCTTCTAAATTATATTTATAATTTATTTGGTAGGATAGAATCTTTAATTATAGATATTTATAGTGTAGTTAATGAATATAATTGTAAAAAAAATAAAATTACTGTAAAAAAAAAAAAACCAAAAACTTGCTGAAATTTGACAAAAAACTCCCTATACGGGGCTCGCTCTAAGAGAAATGTTTATTAATAAAAATAAATTTTTTTAAAGACATATGCAATAGTAGGACACTCATCTACAAAATGACCTAAAATATATGAAATTATACTTTTTAAACTCAAGTTTTCTAATGAGTTTTCAAATCAAAAGTTACACAAAATTTTTCTAATGAATACCATGAATTTCGGAAGAAAAAAAAATTTCATAATTTTGAAAGAAAAGCCATGAAATTTTTAAATTTTAGGTCAAAACAACACTAATACTTAAGAAAACATGTGTAAAAATTTCAAACCAATGCAACAAAAACTGAGTTATCTTTGTCCCCGTTTCAAAAAGTAAGCAAAAAACACATTTTAAGAAAATTGCATTTTAAAGTTATACATATAGAAAAATGTAGCCAAAATTATTATTTGAGGCTCAATATTTTACATTATGAGTATACCTTTATGTTTCCTAAAATAAAATAATTTTTCTCTTTTTTAATTAAAAAATTTTTTTTTTTGTATTTTGAAAAAAATTCTGAAAATTAAAAGACAATTCAATGTAATGCAGATGGCAGTTATTATATAACTTATAGCCTCCAGGTTATAAAATGTTCCTCCATTTTTTTCCATTGTTGTAAATTTTCTTTTTTTTATTCCGCTCAAAATTTTTCTTTTGCTTTTCGCAAAAAGAGATGCATGTCTGTTGGCATCAGTTGGTCTTGTTATATCAACTTCAGAAAATCCTTTCACAGTATAGAATCCTTATGGAATTTTTAATTTTTCTAACACGGAAAGAACACCTTTTGAGCCGCCATTAAATTTCGAAAGCGATAAAAATGAACCTAGCTTCAAAGTCAAAAGTTTCTTTCGGAATTGTGTTCCATAGCACGCCATTGAAACTCTCATTGGCATTTTGAGTTTTGCCATACAAGCATTTTTCCAACAATTTCTTATCACACAACTCCATATAGCATGTTTTAACTTTATTCATGATGGCAACTGAAAGTCCTTTTGTACTGTGGCGAAACGGTTTTCCCTTTTGCTCGGCTATTTTAAATGTACACCAAGAGTTGGAGTTTATCTGTGGAGCAACAGTGGAAAAAAGCAGCAATTACTGCTGTCTGCATCTCAGAGAGATTGCCAACATTGCTGCGGACAGCTATACCATAATAATTTTGAAGGGTGTCTATAAACTTGTCGGTTAATTTTCCTTTCCCACCTAATCCTTTTGTTGTTTTTTTTTCAGCCTACGTAAACGAGAGCCAACTCTTTTCTGAACGTGCCCTATGCACTCAAGTTTATTTACACTACCAGGTCCGTAAACATCTTATACACTCATAAAAGCTTTGGAGTCCCCATCTCCATAGTATTCAGTGTAATGTAGACTTCAACGAATTTTTGAGAGATCAGAAACTAATCGAACTCCAACAGTTTCCATACTTGAGGCTGAACCTTTGTGATTTTTGCACAAATGTGAACGAGCATGCTTATTCGAGACTTGCTTGTTCTTAATACACGTGCGGCAAAATGGACTTAAAACTTCTATATCCAAAACTTTACCCGTGTCCACTGATAGTACCGCAACACATCCGTTTAATGACGAATAACCTCGTTTCTACTATGTACCGTCTACTGATACACTCACTGCATTCATTTTTAATGGCAGAAATATGCTTCGCAGCATGCACCATGGAGCATTCAGCCGCTTGGGATGCAGCTTCTGATAGCCTAAGTTCTTGCACTCTAAATTAATTTTTTGATAGAAATGGTATGTTTAGCATACTGAACAATCTTTGTCCAGCAGAAAATCCTTTGCCAATTAATCTCATTCCAAAAACAGCAAGAAAATTAATGCTGTTTAAATTGTTCACTTTGGAAGTAGAAGTGAAACCTCTGGAAAAAGAGCACATTTTGCAATTCAATGACAAATTGCATTGTAATCCATATCTCGAATATTCTTTTAATTTCAAAAACTTGACATTTTCTTAAAGCTAATGAACTGACAAATAAAATAGTGTAATAAAAAATAAAAAAAATTTTGAGGTATTCGGATACCTTAAGTCGACTGCCTGTATGATGAATTTTTTTAAAAAATTTTAAAAAAATTGAAACGTGTGCGATTGGTTCAAGTGAGATATTTTTTAAGCCAGACACCACACCTAACTTAAGGTATCTGATGATCTTCGACACAAACATTTTGAAATTTTTGATTGACTTATACTTTTTTTGGTTTATTTATTACAGGAGCTATTTAAACTTAAAATAAACAGCAAAAATTATTATTTTAGCTTGAATTTTTTATTTTATAAGTCAAAAAGTGTCAAAATTTGATGTATATGCAAAACAAATTGACATTTTCCAATTCTGTTAAGTGTTAAAGAATTAGAAACCACTGCTGCCGGGAATAAACCACTTATAGCTCTGTAATTCAATATTTTAAAAATTAGCAACCATTTTAATAAAATACTGGTAAAAATGCTACAAATCAGAAACTTTTTTTTTCAAGATAACTCCTACAAAATGTGAGAAAATTAGTTTAGAACCAAAAGCATGGTTCATTCTCTAGAATCATTTAATACGAATGCGCAAAAAAAAATTTGAGGTAAATCTAATGAAAAGTTTTTGAGATTTTGTGTTTTGCAATGGTTGAAAAATCGGAAAAATGCATTTTGAGAAAAATACAAAATAACATTATACTTGAACTTTATTAATATATAATTGTAAAATATTAGATTAAACTGCCTGGTTATGCAAATAATAAAATTTTTATTGCTCAAAAAAATAGTCATTTTTTAAAAAATTTTACGCAATATTTAAATTTTGAGTAAAAGATGGAAGAAATTTATAAAATTTGAGATACGTACACTTTACAGAATAACTTCTAAGTACGTTAATATAATAATATCATTTGTGCTTGAAATGATTTTGAAACACTAAATCAAGCACTGAACTATGGTGAAACATTTTCCAGTGTTTGAAAATCTGAGCTATAAGATTTTTTCTTATTTTGTTTGCTTCGATAATTCATAAAAATGCTTTTACATTGATTTATATATGGTTTTTTTCTTTTTGAGTGCATTGAAAAATTCAAGAAATAATTATAAAAAGTTATTGAGTAACTGTATTTTACTATGAAAATAAAAACGATGAAAACACATTCAAAAAAGTTCTAAGCCACTTTGATAAAGTGAAATGCAAAAACAAATTGAAAAACATTTCACATTATATCTATGATTATACCT